ATATATACTTCTAAACTGTTGTATTCTGGGCACCGCTGCAAAAACTGATTATGTGTGAGTGAGGTGAAAGTGTTGAATGATGAAAGTATTTTCTTTTTGGGTCACCCTGCCTCGGTGGGAGACGGCCACCTTGTTGAAAAAAAATATATATATATTTTGTATTTATACATTGTTATGCTACAAATTTGTACAACTTTAATGCTTCTTATTTGAAATACTAATTTGTACTTCATGTTGTAATTTGTATACTGTAATTTTTACCACTGAATATATCATTGCTAAGTTAATCTTAAGTTAATTTTAACCCTGCCCATAATGCTCTGCATACAAGGGGCTTTTGGCATGTACACCCAATCATTATATTTCTTTGTACACCTATGTATCATGTCCAAATAAAAAAAATAAATAAATAAATAATTATTTTTATTTTGTCTTTTACTCGTATTTTATTTTTCACAAACTTGAATAATATACAAAGCTCCATCTTTCTTTTATTCAATACTCATTTTTCAAAGTTTCTTCCTTCCTCACCTTTGTATATTAACCCAGTGAGGGTCGGTCACATACAAGTATGTCATTACAGCCAGGGTCGGTCACATACTTGTACGCCTAAATTCTAGTGCCTTCAAATCTGGTGGAAGACAGCTGGCAGGCCTACATATGAAAGAATGGGCCTGTGTGGTCAGTGCACACAGTATAAGAAAAATCCTGATGCATGCTGTGCATAATGAGAAAAAAATCTTCGACTGTGTTTTTGGTTTAAAACAGTGACTTTCAAGTTTATTTTCGTATGGTATTTTTAGGTGCATTCTCGTATCCTTGGTCTCATTTCATAGAATGGAAGATATATTACAGAAATAGAGAAGATTTGATTGGTTTCACAATGACAAGTACCTTAAAATTAAACTCAAAATAGTGAAAATGATCGATTTTTGCCAATGTTCAAGAGTAAACAAATCAAGCCATGCATCCAGTACACATCAACTGGTGAGTCTAATATTCTTTCACATGTGCGCTGATATCATTTATACTGTTTTTACAATGATACAGTTGTATATGTAACAGAAAACCTATTTTCTGTGAGAATAAAAATTCAAAAGTAATGTAAGAGGGGCCTAGAGACATGACTAATGAACAGATAAAATGTTATTTTAGTGCCATGAATGTCTGTCTTGTTTATTCTGGACCCTATTTCGAAATTGGCATCTTTTGAAATTTGTATGAAATTGACCAAATTGCCAATTTCTGACCACTTTAATGGGTAGTCAAAATCAGTAAATGCATGGATTCTTGAACTCAATTTATAGAACAAATGGAGTTCTAGGGAAATAGTTATGATTTTAGTCAACTGCAACATTGGAATTGGGCAAAAATAGGGCCCAAAGTGGGTATAATCGCCCACTTCGAGACAGCTAACTTTGTGAGAGCATAATTCTGTAAGTTTTCCATCAAATTTCATACTTTTGGTGTCATTATGATCGGAAAAAGATTCTCTATCATTTCCAAAGAATTTTTTTTTTTTGGGGGGAAAATTTTTCGACCCTGAGAATGAGTTTGGGAGAGGGCCTCTCGACCCTCAAAGGGTTAATTTCTAATTTATTCTAAGCCCTTTTCTTTTAATGTTTCTCCGGCATCTTTCATTAAACTGTTTTTTTGTTGTCAGATCTTTTATACTTTTTGCAATAATTTGAATTATACCATTTTCATATACAGTGGACCCCCGGTTAACGATATTTTTTCACTCCAGAAGTATGTTCAGGTGCCAGTACTGACCGAATTTGTTCCCATAAGGAATATTGTGAAGTAGATTATTCCATTTCAGACCCCCAAACATACACGTACAAACGCACTTACATAAATACACTTACATAATTGGTCGCATTCGGAGGTGATCGTTATGCGGGGGTCCACTGTATTTTGCAGAACTTCTAATATTCTGTATCTTGATAATGTTATCTTGTAATTTTTTCCCCTTTATTTCTCTGAAATGCTATGGGAGTGAGTAACACTGGATATAGAGCAGATGGAAGGTCTTGTTGCAATGTGGATGTATAAGGCTGTTTATGTAAGAAAGTGGTAATGTATAATTTGTAGAGTCATCTGGCCCAGTGACACAGAAAACGTCTTTTCCTACATTTATTTATTTATTTATTTATTTATTTACAATTTGAGCACACATACAGAGGTACAAAAAAATACAGATAAGAGCAGTATGCCAAAGCCACTTATACTATGCATAGCATTACGGGCTGGCTTAAAATTAACTTAAGATTAACTAAGCAATGATGAAATCAGTGATAAAACATTAATGTAAGCAGATTACTATAAAGCACAAGTGAGTATTACAAAGACAGGTCATATGGTTGCATGCATTGTTGTACATTCAGTAGAATGGAGTATTCTGTTAGGTAGTGTATTTAAAAAATAATAAAGTTAGATTGGGTTTTAGGTTTAACATTTATGTGATATAATTGTGAGAAACATTTAAGATATACAATTTATAAGGTTCAGTTATTCAGTATTTATTTGGTTTTGGGTGAGTAAGTGATCTTTGAGAAGAGACTTGAATTTATAAACAGGTAGTGTTTCTTTTATATTTACAGGTAATGAATTCCAGATTTTAGGGCCTTTTATGTGCATTGAGTTTTTGCATAGCGTGAGATGGACACGAGGAACATCAAAGAGTGATCTGTGCCTTGTGTTATGGTCATGTGTTCTGTTGAGGTTGGCAAGGAGATGTTTGAGGGGAGGGTTTAATATCAGAGTTAAGTGTTCTATGTATGTAATAGGTGCAGTAATAAGTATGGATGTTTTGTATGGTGAGTAGGTTGAGTGTATTGAATATTGGTGGAGTGTGCTGCCTGTAGTGAGAATTTGTTATCATTCTAACTGCAGCCTTTTGTTGGGTAATTAGTGGTCTGAGATGGTTACTTGTTGTTGAGCCCCATGCACAAATTCCATAGGTCAGATAGGGGTAAATAAGAGAGTGATATAGGGCCAGGAGGGCTGACTGTGGAGCATAGTACCGTATCTTCGATAGTATGCCTACAGTCTTGGAAATTCTTAGAAATTTGTTGTATATGTGTATGAAATTTGAGTCTATTATCAAGGTGGATTCCTAAGAATTTTCCCTCTGTTAGCTTTGTGATAGGTGATCCGTTTATCATTATGTTAAGAGGGACATCTGTAGCTCTGTTACCAAACTGAATGAAGTAGGTTTTGTCAATGTTTAGTGTAAGTTTGTTAGTCCTCATCCAGGTAGATATTTTCTGTAATTCGGTATTTACAGTATTGGCTAGCGTGACTGGGCTCGGGTGGGAGAAGACGTATGTAGTGTCATCTGCAAATAGTGTGGGTTTGAGTAATTGCGAGCATTTGGTAGGTCATTTATGTATAGGAGAAAGAGAAGAGGGCCAAGGACACTTCCTGTGGGACACCAACTGTAATTGGTTGTGCAGAAGAGTTTGCCCCATTTGCGTACACATATTGGCTTCTGTTGCTGAGGTATGACTTGAGGTAGTTGAGGGAGTGCCCTCTTATACCATAGTGTGGACAATTTTACGTGGAGCAAGTCATGGTCAACTGTATCAAAAGCTTTACGTAAGTCAATGAAGATCCCCAGTGGGACTTCATTTTTCTCTATTGCAGTGTATATATGTTCTAGCATGTGTATAATAGCATCATTAGTATTTTTATTAGGCCTGAATCCAAATTGGCAGGGTTTTGAGTATGTTTTTGGGAGATAAGGTAGGAGTAGATTCGTTTATGAATTAATTTTTCGAAGATTTTTGAGAGAGGGTGTAAGTTGGATATTGGCCTATAGTTATTCAACTCTGTTTGGTCTCCTCCTTTGTGGATCGGGGTGACCCTTGCTATTTTGAGTACTGTAGGGAAGGTGGAGGATTCAATGGATTTGTTAAAGAGTGTTGCAATGATTGGTGATAGCACTTGTGACACTTTTTTGTATATAAAGGTGGTAAGGTATTTAAATCTCCTGCCTTGTTTTTTAGTGTGTTGATAATAAGGGAGACTTCGTATGGGTTAGTCGGAGCTAGGAACAGTGTGTTTCGGGTAGTTGCCGGTGAGGTAGTCATTTGGTGGGGTATCTGAGCTTGGGATTTTATTGGCAAGGTTTTGTCCTATAGTGGAGAAGAAATCATTGAGTCTGTTTGCTGTTTCTGTTGGTGGGAGTTGGGGTTCATCTGATTTTGCTAATTTTATTTCGCTATTTTGTGATATCTTTTTGTTCCCAGAATTTCTGATAGGGTTTTCCAGGTCTTTTTTATATCACCTCGTAAGTTGGATAATCTGTTTCTCATATACAATTTTTTGCCCTTCTTATCAGGCTGGTTAGGATTGATGAGTAACGTTTTGTTTGGTCTCTGGTTATGTGACCCATTCTGTACTGTTTTTCATATTGGTGTTTTGTATTTATGGATTTGAGAACGCTGGGTGTTAGCCAGGGACTGTTCAGTCTCTTAGCTGCCATCTGTTTAGTTTTTTTAGGGCAGTGCTTGTTATAGAGGTATTGGGTCTTTTTTAGAAAATTATTAATACATTCGTCAATATCTGTATAGATTTCTAGCTCAGTGTGCCAGTCAATGTTTGCTACTGCTGTAATTTCAGTGCTAACAAACTTCAGTGCAACAAGAAGCTTTACTGTGCACTGATCATAGAGAAATGCAAAACCATTGCAAAAAATTAAAAATGCACTAAATAATGAGTTAGTTACAAAATTAACCTTTAAGTTAATAAACATCATACTTCATATTAAGAACTGTTTTAACTTGTGATTAAAAGAGGCTTTTAACTTCTAATTATTTTACCATTACTGCAACTGGTAAAAAAAAAAATCTGCCAAGCAGAAAATGAGGCTTGGAAAAAAGATTGTTAAAAAGACAAAAGCACTTCTAATACACAGAAATATAACTGCCAAAAGCTGCTGAGTACGTATTAGTAATAAACATCCTTAACATCAAAATCCAGACAACCAAACTTACCTCGTCCGCAACATGAGATTGGAGAGGATGAGATTAGGTCGATCACGAGATGGAACACGGCAGGAACCCCCAATAGCACGAAGGCGAGAGTTAGGACCAAAGCCTAAAGTTGTTACCAAAACACCACCTGCACCCCCACCTACCAGTGTGCCCGGGCATGAACCTGATCTGTTATAGCCAGACGTCACCACAGGCAGCAAAGCAAGCATACCAACAGTTATTGGGCAACAATGTCTGGGTTAGCTTAAGGCACCATTACACTGCTTTTATGGATGACATTTCTTTTAACTCCCTCACAAGAAACAACATTTTTATAATATATTTTCTTTATTAGTTTCTGTAGCAGATATTCTGTTCTTCAGTGTACAGTGGACCCCCGCATAACGATGGCATCACATAGCGATTTTTCCGCATAACGATTACTTTTATCGCAAAATTTTTGCCGCGCATACCGATTAAAAACCCGCTTACCGATTTTCGTCCGAGACGCGTCCAATGTGCCCTCACATGTGCCGGCCGTCCCATTGTTTACCAGCCAGCCTCCGCGGTAACATCCAAGCATACACTCGGAATATTTCGTATTATTACAGTGTTTTCGGTGCTGTTTCTGGAAAATAAGTGACCATGGGCCCCAAGAAAGCTTCTAGTGCCAACCCTGTGGTAAAAAGGGTGAGAATTAGTATGGAAATTAAGAAAGATTTTGAAGGGTTTGGGGCTAACCCTGAGAAGCCTATGCCAGTTGTGGAATCCATTGTGCCTACTTCAAGATTAAGGAAATGTGTGCACAGTGGGTTTGAACTGCAAACCTTTATAGATGAAAATCACCCTGACACAGCTGTTGCAAGCCGTGCTTGTGACTATTTCAATGACAATGTTATGGCCCATTTTAGGAAAGTCTTGAAGGAACGGGAGGTACAGAGCTCTATGGACAGATTTGTTGTGCGACAGAGGTCCAGTGACTCTCAAGCTGGTCCTAGTGGCATTAAAAGAAGAAGGGAAGTAACCCCAGAAAAGGACTTGCTACCTCAAGTCCTAATGGAAGGGATTCCCCTTCTAAACAGTAAGAAGATAATGCTCTCCCCTCCTCCCATCCATCAATCATCACCAGATCTTCAATAAAAGTAAGTGTCATGTAATTGTGCATGCCTTTTTCAGTTTGTGTGTATTAAAATTAACATTTCATGTGGTAAAAAAAAAATTTTTTCATACTTTTGGGCGTCTTGCACGGATTAATTTTATTTCCATTATTTCTTATGGGGAAAATTCATTCGCATAACGATTATTTCGCATAACGATGAGCCCTCTTGCACGGATTAAAATCGTTAACCGGGGGTCCACTGTATTAAGAAAAATAATTTAAAACTAATTTTAATGTAAATCAATAAACTAATCCAAATACATATTCTAAAATTTATTAATATTGAATTATATAGTATTAGTGTTTAGTCTTAGAGAACACTGCTAGATGATATCTAATTCAATGAAGCTAAAACCATGTAAACAGCAGTGTGATGGGTCTTCCTAAAAGCTTACTCTAAAGAAATCTTTGCACAACTAAATATATAGAACAGAATAATAATAAATGGAAAAAGGTACAAGACCTGAAATACTGTGTATTAACTACAGTCCAACCCAGAATACAATAGACATCAAGAGAAAAACAAAAATAAATATAAAGCATAAAAAAATATTACAAAGCCATGAAGCATTTCACTGGACAGCTTTACAAAGTCATATAGAGTAACATAGCTCAAATATTTATAACTTCAAAATCTAGAAGTCACTGATGCAAGAACTTACTGTGTCATATATTTCATACAACTTAACATTTGTCACCACTAAATGAATGCTACTTCCTGTAATAAACCTGACAAATAAGATGAAAAATATTCAGAGGAAATAAAGTAGCTAGAGCAAAGTTAATATATACATGACAAAAAAGATCCGCATAAGTGAACCATAACTTACAAAATCCATTTTTCTCCAAGTAGTGAAAACATGGCTATATTATATTACAACTGTTCTGATGATCCACTTAAGGCACACAATACCTCTCAGTTATAGCAAACCCATAAAGCACCTACTACAGTACATTTATTTTGTGTCACTTGAGCAGCTAGTTTACCATGCACCTCATACTCATCCTATGAGTGGAAATGCAAAGGACAGCATTACAAATGTCCCTAAGAGTTTTTGGCAGACCCTACTGGGCATAGTTACATCTTTAGTATATTCCAGTCATCAACTTTCTTCTTTCAACAAACTGGCTGCATCCTATCAAGGCAGGGTGGCCCAAAAGAAAAAACAAAAGTTTCTCCATTAAATTTAGTAATATATACAGGAGAAGGGGTACTAGCCCCTTGCTCCCAGCATTTTAGTCGCCTGTTACGACACGCATGGCTCACGCAGGAAGAATTCTATTCCACTTCCCCATAGAGATAAGAGGAAATAAACAAGAACTAGTAAGGATATAGAAGAAAACCCAGAGGGGTGTGTATATATATGCTTGTCTATGCATGTGCAGTGTGACCTAAGTGTAAACAGAAGTAGCAAGACGTACCAGAAATCTTGCCTGTTTATGAGACAGAAAAAAGACACCAGTAATCCTATCATCACGTAAAACAATTACAGGCTTCCGTTTTACACTCACTTGGCAAGACGGTAGTACCTCCCTGGGTGGATGCTGTCTACCAACATACTACCTATAATCCAGTCATTTTTTTTTTTTCAACAAACCGGCTGTATCCCACCAAGGCAGGGTGGCCCAAAAACAAAAACGAAAGTTTCTCTTTTTAAATTTAGCAATTTATACAGGGGAAGGGGTTACTAGCCCCTTTGATCCCGGCATTTTAGTCGCCTCTTACAACACGCATGGCTTATGGAGGAAGAATTCTGTTCCACTTCCCCATGGAGATAAGAGGAAATAAACAAGAACAAGAACTATAAAGAAAATAGAAGAAAACCCAGAGGGGTGTGTATATATATATATATGCTTGTACATGTATGTTTAGTATGACCTAAGTGTAAGTAGAAGTAGAAAGACGTACCTGAAATCTTGCATGTTTATGAGACAGACAAAAGACACCAGCAATCCTACCATCATGTAAAACAATTACAGGCTTTCGTTTTACACTCACTTGGCAGGATGGTAGTATTTCCCTGGGTGGCTGCTGTCTACCAACATACTACCTAGAATCCAGTCATATCCTATATTATAATCTATAGCTAACCAGCTACCCAGTGCAATACAACCTCTCCTCACTTAACGAAGGAGTTCCGTTCCTAAGACCACATCAGTAAACGAATTCATCGCTATGCAAGGAGCATAATATAATGGTGGTGGGTTTGAGTCAACCATCTTTGATATTCTTTTAATGTTACCTTTGCACCATTTACATTTTTAGTATATTTTTATGTTTATACGGTAGTGTCCTGTATATTGTAATAAACAGAACACAGGAAATCAGCTCTAATACACATTATTTAGGTATGCATACTGGTCAGAGAGCCTGTTATAAGTCCGAGTCGTCGGTAAATGAGTACGTTGCTAAGTGAGGAGAGGCTGTATATAGATACACTCCTAAAAACTTTAAATATATTACTAATGCAAACACTGGCCATTTACTAGGTTACAATCTCATCATATAACAGCTGAGATTGTAACTTAGTAAATGGTCAAAAAAAATTACAGTGGTACTCTTTTTTTTTTTTTTTTTTTTTTTTTTTAACAAGTCAGCCATCTCCCTCCGAGGCAAGGTGACCCAAAAAGAAAGAAAATCCCCAAAAAGAAAATACCTTCATCATCATTCAGCACTTTCACCTCACTCACACATAATCAATGTTTTTGCAGAGGTGCTACGGGACTATGAAATTAAAGTTGCTAAGGATTCGAAAACTAACCCAAAAAGTTTTTTTCCAGGTTTATAGAACAAAAGTTAGAGATAAGATAGGTCCCCTTAAAAATAACTCTGGGCATCTCACTGACAAGGAGAATGAAATGTGCTCTATTCTCAATAATTATTTTCTCTCGGTTTTCACTCAGGAAGACAATAACAATATCCCAGTAATGAATTTTTATAGTGGGCCTGTTGATGATAAATTATGCAATATCACAGTCACTACCGAATTGGTTATCACTACCGAATTGGTTATCAAACAGACCGGTTAAAGCAAAATAAATCCCCGGGCCCTGATGAACTTTTTCCAAAGGTTCTTAAAGAGTGTAAAATAGAACTTTGTGAACCATTGACTAATATTTTTAATATTTCTCTTCAAACAGGTGTAGTGTCCGATATGTGGAAGATGGCTAATGTAATTCCTATTTTTAAAGCAGGGGACAAGTCGTTACCGTCAAATTACTGCCCAATAAGCCTAACCTCAATTGTAGGCAAATTACTAGAGTCAATTATAGCTGATAATATAATATAATATAATATATAGGACAAGGAGGAATAACATCTTGTAGGAGTGAGGAAGAGCCAGTTGTGAGTGTGGGGGAAGTTCATGAGGCAGTAGGTAAAATGAAAGGGGGTAAGGCAGCCGGGATTGATGGGATAAAGATAGAAATGTTAAAAGCAGGTGGGGATATAGTTTTGGAGTGGTTGGTGCAATTATTTAATAAATGTATGGAAGAGGGTAAGGTACCTAGGGATTGGCAGAGAGCATGCATAGTTCCTTTGTATAAAGGCAAAGGGGATAAAAGAGAGTGCAAAAATTATAGGGGGATAAGTCTGCTGAGTCAAGGTAGTAGGTTGGTAGACAGCAACCGCCCAGGGAGGTACTACCGTCCTGCCAAGTGAATGTAAAACTGAAGCCTGTAACTGTTTTACACGATGGTAGGATTGCTGGTGTCTTTTTTTTTCTGTTTCATACACATGCAAGATTTCAGGTATGTCTTGCTACTTCTACTTACACTTAGGTCACACTACACATACATGTACAAGCATATATATACACACCCCTTTGGGTTTTCTTCTATTTTCTTTCTAGTTCTTGTTCTTGTTTATTTCCTCTTACCTCCATGGGGAAGTGGAACAGAATTCTTCCTCCGTAAGCCATGCGTGTTGTAAGAGGCGACTAAAATGCCGGGAGCAAGGGGCTAGTAACCTCTTCTCCTGTATATATTACTAAATGCAAAAGGAGAAACTTTCGTTTTGGGCCACCCCGCC